TCTTATTTATATTTTTTTAATCATCAACAACACACTACTTACTTTAACCTCTAGAACTCGCATCACATAACGTTTTGCTTATTTCAGGATGAAAAACTTAATCTGCAAGTCCTTATTTTAGCCAATGCAAGATCTATGCGGCAATGTGTGTGCCTGGTCAGACGTTCCTCAATGCCACATCACACTCTTGTCAGCTTAGACTAATAGAATCTTGACGGAAGAACTGGCACCAGTAACTGAATAAACAATCAGGATTGAATAAAAAGAAAAAAAAAATTATAACGACCTGATCCAAAACTTGGTAAAACTATAAGCACTCACAGATTAATTTTTCCTTTTAGGGATAAAAAGGAAAGAATACGTTCCCGACATTCACTATGAATGTTTTTCCCCCTTCAAATAGAAACTGTGTCGTGTCATTTCATCAAAGAAAATTATACAAAAGTAAATTCCTATCTATCGTCTTTAATAAATTACTACTTCGGTCCTTAATATAAGAATTAGTTGAGTAATATGAGTAAATTAAAAAAAACTATTTAAGTTAATTATTTGTGATAAATATATGTTGTCTTTCGTAAAATATCATTGCTAATCAAATGTATTGGTTAGAACTACTATTATTATAAGAACTACCTTGAAAAAAAATAAACATGATAAACAAAGTGGATTAGAGCTTATATTTCAGATCAAATAAAAATCAAACGAGCTCTTATATTAAGAAACGAAGGTCATAAAAAAGAATTATAATCAAAGGTCTGATAATGCGCTATTCATCTGGCCAAAAAATTGGCATCCTTCATTATGCTTTTCTTCATTTAACACAAAGTTAGAAGTAGTTGACAATTCATATGCAAGAGTTTTCTAGTAGAACCTCAAACGTAAATACGAAAAATGTGGTAATAAGTGTATTCAATGTTGCGTGGAGCTAAATATTGTTTAGAATCATTAATTGTTCTTTTAATTTGCAGGATCTAAGTATTCTGGCAGGTTGGCCAGCAGCGAACATTAGAATATTAGTGACTATTCTAACACACCATTAGTTAGTGTTAGTACTCCTCTGGTCCTTAATATAAAACCCATTTAACTAATTTGATTAGATTAAGGAAGTTAGGTAAATTAGTTAATTATAAGAAATATGACATGTTTTTCCTAAGACACCATAATCATCTTTCTTAATACCTTATTTCCCTCATCTACTTGATTATATTTGAGGGGTATTCATAGAGGTAGTTTAGAGAAAATTGATAAATATGAGAAGTATGTTTTATATTTAAGACTAAAACCAACTCAATAATTGGGTCCTATATTAAGGATCGGAGGAGTAACTTAGTATTGACCATATAAAACCATTGCGAGTTTGCAACGCATCTATATATTATACATGCTAATTCCTCCCGTATTTAATGCAAGAGTTAATTGAGATATTGAATTTAATTCTAAGTATGAGATCTCAATTTATTTTCTAACTTATATCTATCTCTTTTTTTCAAACAAATATATTTAACTTATAAATTAGTATATAATATAATGTTATATAGGAATATTTTAGAGAGACATCATATCATAGTTATTATAATTAACTAATTAATTTATTTAACTTTTTTAATCTATCTAAGGTAGTTAAGTAACACAATAGTATAGTATAATGCTGCATAACATTCTAAGCCGAGTGAGAGGGATCTTCTATCCGAAGCAAACTAATTAGAATATCAGCCACTATGTTATGCCTATTTTTGTTTAAAATTGAGCAATATTTGATGTCTAATTTTTGGGGTATGGGCGCATGGACTATGCTTTTTCAAATTTGTTTTGCACAATTGTGTTTTTAATAATTTTTAAATTTTAAAAAGTTAGATAGACATTGTTTTTTATACAAAAAAAATATAATTTTATGTTTAATATAACAATAAAAACAATTTAATTAAAATTTTGCTTTTGATATCTATAAATGTATATATTATGCAAAAATTAATTTTATAGACCAAAATTGAATAAACAAATTCATATTCATAATATATATCTAGAAAATAATAAACTCTATCAAGTATAACTTAATCTCGTTTACAAAATTTATATATCTTAATTAATTATTGATATGATTGTTTGTTTCCGATAGCTACAAGACAACCATTTATATTCTGGTCAAAAAAAAAAAAGACAACCATTTATATACATGTGTGTGTATATAAAATAGAGTTAGACAATGGTAAGACGCCTATGTATTTGGTGAACGATTTGTGGAGGTGTTACCAAAAATATATGGAGCAAACTCCAGTCACTGTCTAGAAAAGTTAAAAAAAAAACTTAAAAAGGACTCGGGTCCCTGTTAGGCTGTTGGCATACTATCTGAAGTTTTCTTATTCATAATGAAACAAATTATTATCTTGCTATTGGAAAACAATCTTATATCGGTCTTAAGGGGAATTATTCTTTCTTTGTTTTTTTTTTTGTGGAAAACTGACGGGGCAGCACTACGTACGCATGCATAGAAGTATAAAAACTGAATATTTTAATATTAATAAATAAAAAATTATGCCTTTAATTTTTATGAACCAATTTCTAGTCAGGTTTGTCATGTGTTAAGGTGCAAATTTATTCAGAAAATTTTCACTCAAAAGTATTAGATATGAAAATTTTTTAGTTTAATATTTACATTAGTTTTTTAATATTATAAAATAAAATTATATGATTTTAAACTTTCAGAGCAACATCAAATAAAAAACCTTCGAGCGTAGAACGATCCCAAGTAAAAATTTGTGGAGCAGACTTGCATCTCAGCTTGCTAAATTCAGGCCATGTTGGACCGCTTTTGGACGCGGTCGGCACAAAACAACTCATCTCCGTTGATGCTTTCTAGCCTATTTTTTTAAATTATTTCTGCGACCAAAGAAAACCAAAGACAGAGCTAGCTCAAACACCTTTCTGTCTTCTGTTTTCGTACGGCTGATGGCAGAAACCTAGAAGAAGCTATGGCAGCAACCCAATAGGCTACCAATTATAGGCTTTTAGCTCCAAGTTCCAATCGTTGATACTTCGTACTAAGCCCACCTAAAATTACTTCTTTTGATCTTAAATAAATTTGCCCCTTGTTAAGTCATCTTACCAAATTCAAATAACACCATAATTTGATCAGTTCCCTCCTCGTAAAATTAGATTTTTCGCATTCTCTGTCATAGTATTGAAGATTGAGACAGTTTTTGACAGACTAGAGAATTTGCGTCACATGCCAACGAGAGACTTCTTTCAATTCTTATCTAAACTTCTAGAATATACATAATTTTCTTTTCTCTGTGTAATTAAAATCTGAAACTGCAGTTCACTTTGTCATATTAACGCAACAACATTTATGTTCTTTGGATTCTTAAAAAAGGGCGACAAAGTCTTTTGCTACGTATCAAACTTCTATATTCTAAAAGCGCTTGGCTTGGTTTCTGCGCTCAGCTGCATAAGAATGATATCTCGAAGTGATCTCCTGCTGAATGAGGTTGTTGGCCCTATTCTGAACCCGTAACAAGCCTGTTGAACCCAACCACATAACGCCCACTTGATGGAAGAAAAACCCCTGATCGAGGGTAAACTTCAGTAATGGATGCTTTATTTTGATCTTAAATATAAGATATATTTATCGTATTTATTATTATTTTTAAATTGTCTTTGTGATATTTCCTCAATTATAATCAAATAAGAGGAGGATAATATTAAAAAAATGATTATATTGTTTTAAAAAAACATGTCATATTGTTTTTTAATTAACTAACTTAACATTGTTATCTAATTAAATTAATTAAATAGATTTTATATTAATTAAGGAGGAGCAGTTTGCAAGGCCATGGCAATCAGTGTCAGCTGCACGTGGCAAGCGGAAGCAATCCCTATCAACTGCATGAAGCACGTGTGGCTTGCGGAAGGAATGCCTTTACTAGAGGTCCATACTCCATATGCATGCCTTTTTCCTGATTTTTAAAATAATCAATCATGTAAATGTGCATCAAAAGAAATTTTGGTGATAAATATTTTCGTATTATTTATGTTAAATGTTAGTTTTGTTAAAAAATCAAAAGAGTATTTTATTTCAGATTAATCATCTTAAATGTTAGTTTTGCAGTTAAGAAAATAATGTTTTAAGAAGTCAGGATTACCAAAGTGAAATAGAACAGATTGAGAGATCTAGCAAATCTAGTGGGTTTATTTTATTTCTGTACTGAAAGTCTGAAATCGATCATTTTTCAACTGGACAACCGAAACCTTAATAATTGCATGGCGTAGTAAAGTTTACTCGACAGATGAGAATTAGTCTATTTATATCATTAAAAAAATATGTTTATAAGATGATTGTCACTTGTTCCCGTTAGGATCAGTTACCTCATGCTTAAATTAGATCATTCCTATCCTCTGTTATAGTATTGTAGACCTAGACAATTTTGACAGATTAGAGAATTTTGCATCACATGCCAAATACAGAGTTCTCTCAATTCATATCTAAATTTCTAGGATATACGTAATTTCCTCTTCTCTGGGTAAGTAAAATCTGAAAATGCAGGTAATTTATTAATGCAACAACATCTCTGTTCTTTGGACTCTTACAAAAGGGCGACAAAGTCTTTTGCTACATATCAAACTTCTATATTCCAAGATCCCCCCCAAAAAAAAAAATCTCCAAGAACCTGTATTATATTCTAAATTTCTAATATTATACACTAATAAAAGGACTCAGAGCTTCAAAGCCAACAAAAGGAGAATATCCCGGCAAAAAGAGGTGTTGAGAGGTGAAGTCCCCACATCATATTGTCAAAAGCACTAGGATTAGCTTCTGTACTCATTCATCTCCATGAGAATGATCTTGAAGTGATCATCTGGAGAATAAGGTTGTCAGCCCCATTCTGAAGCTGTATCGAGTCTGTTGTAGTTTGTAAGGAGCTAGAGCTATATAAAGTCGTGAACTCAACCAGATAATGCAAACTTAATTTCTTTTTTTTTTTTGGGGGGGGGGATGGTTACCCTTATCGAGGGTAAACGTCAGTGATGGGGGCTTCATCTGTAGACCATAGAATTGAACATGTAGATTGGTCAGAACCAACGACATTGTTTTGCCTGTTTGGTGTTCTTCTGAGCGGTAAGGATGCAGGCTTTCGAGGCAATGACAAAGTAACAGAGTAACTGTTGAGCACGAGTACTATATTTGCCATCGATGGTCTGTCAGAACGGTTCTCCTGAACGCATGATAAAGCAATATGGATGCATCTTGTGACTTCATTTCTTGAATAAGAACCTCTCAGTGTTGGATCCAACAACTCCAGAGGTGTTTTTCGTGTCCAGTTATTCCAGGCCTGGGATTACACAAGGAGTCAATGTTCAGAACTGGAATCTATCAAAGAGTGAAGTAAAGATGTTATATATAGTCTGAGATTTTACTTACATAGCTTAAGAGGTCATCGGCTTGATGTGATTGGTACAAATCAGTGTTCTTCTTGCCAGTAATAATCTCTAAAACCAAGACACCGAAGCTAAACACATCTGATTTTACAGAAAATTGTCCGTGCATCGCATACTCTGGAGACATGTAACCACTACAAAGAAACAATATAAATCCATTGAGCATGGAATAATAATGAAAAACTCCAAATAGAAACAAAGGAATCATGAGAAACTTACAAGGTGCCAACTATTCTTCCTGTATTTGCTTGAGCCTGCTCACCTTGGAAGATTTTTGCCATACCAAAGTCTGAAATTTTTGGATTCATACTAGTATCTAGCAAGACATTACTAGCTTTGAGATCACGATGAATTATTCTAAATTGAGAATCTTCATGGAGATATAGCATTTCTCGAGCAATGCCTATAATAATCTTGTAGCGTTTTGGCCAATCTAGTCTTGTTTTCCTTTCTGGATCTAAAAAGTTTGAGAGAAGTGAGATTTCCAGGCTAGCAATTGCTGGATTATGAATAAACATGATAACACCGAGGGATTATCATAAACTATTTGTGCTTCTATTAAGGTCTGGTATAATTATAACAATTAATTATTGACCTGAAGGACTAGATTTATAGAGATCCAAAGCATTGGAAGAGTTGTCAAATGATTCCTACCAAATAGAAACGTGTCGAGGCTTTTGTTTGGGACATATTCATAGACAAATATCTTCTCTTGCCCTTCTAAGCAAAATCCCAACAGCCTCACTAAATTCCTGTGTTGAAGTTCGGCCACAAGAGCGGCTTCATTTCTAAACTCCATAGCACCCTGCAAGGAGGTTACTGACAACCTCTTCACAGCTATCTCCTGTCCGTTTGGAAGGATGCCCTGAAAACATGGTCAGGATTGGACCAACTTTTCTTAGTTTAGCAGACAAAGATGACAGCAATTTGCAACTAATAAGCTATGTACCTTATAAACTGCCCCATATCCACCTTGGCCAATCTTGTTCTTATCTGAGAACTTTTTTGTGGCAGCTTCTATGGCCGCCAATTCAAATTGCAAAGCCCCTATCTCTGAAATATCAATCCCAGCTTCAACCACAAAAAAAAAAAAAGAATTTGTCAGCCATCAGATTGATAAAACCATATCTAACCTTGGTCTCAAAAAGAAACAGGAACAATCCAAGGAAATACTACTTACCATCCTCTGTGAATGAGTTGTCCCTCTTGCTTGCTCTCTTACGGAGTAAACAACAACCCACAACGAGAAGTGCCAAAGCAACAACAATTGGAACAACAATCGTGACAATCATTGAGATATTTCTACTTCCTGCTCAAAAGATGGTCACCGTAAACCCCGATATCGACATGATTTTGAAGAAGCTATTATACGATCCTTACCTGAAAGAGGAACCAGTGGTTCAGAGGAAACGTGGGTCATATTGTAAAACCGATAAAATTCATATCTGATATTACATGATGGAACCAGAACATTTGCCCCCTTGCTCCCACTACAGCAACTTGGAAGGGATGCAATGGCACTGCGGAAACAAGAATCACAAACAGAGCCGGCCGAGTCAGGAGTGCACTGTGCGAGGCTGTACAAGGTTTCCGACGACGTGAAGTTCACTTCCGCCGTAGCGAACCTCTTCCCTGTGGACCCTGTCTGGATATTTGCTTTTTCTGTCACATTATTCAACATGTTCGACAGCACGCGGTCGAATCGATCCCGTTCCGAGCTAGCTATGGTGTTGGTGTTTCTCAAACTCACATAAGGAACCATGGGGTTCAAGTTCCCGTTCGTGTAACGAAGCATACACACATCGTACCAGATTATGGACTCTGTTTGGTTTGGGCAGAGGCGTCTTATCTCCTTGGATGCAGCGGCAACGCAAGGCTGGCACACGGCGGGGGTGACGTCGCCACGACAGAGGAAAAGCCCGGTGATGGTGGAGGGGGTGGACGGGGACACGGTGGTACGGTAGTAACCGTCGGGTAGAGAAGCGTTGGAGGTGAGGGAAGAGAGAAGGAAATTCAAATTGGCTTGGAATGTATCGTTGGGTCCGAAATAGCTCCCATTAGTACAGAAATGACTTCTAAATTCTGGAGCAGCTTCGGGTGTGAAGCTCAGAAATCCCAAGAGAGAGAGGAGGATGAAGATGGACATGGTGGTGAACAGAAAATTGAATTGGACATCAAAATTATCACCGATCAGTGCTGATTATGTTTTTTTTTGTTTTGTTTTTCCAGTACGTGCACTTAAATGGAGGTAGATTGCTTGCCGCTAACATGAAATCAAGTCAATGCTGAGGGGATGGAAAGTCGGAAACAATTGTAGTTGTGGGCCCACCTTGACTTGTCTAACACGAACCAGAGAGGTCAAATGCATTCCTTCCCCACGCCACATGTGCTTTGATTACCCTCACCTTGCAACCAATACCTCTTTGCCCAATTAGGTGATCACCGTTACAGTTACTGTACCTCCTGTAGTTGATATAAAAATAATAGCTCATCCGAGTTGAATTTAATTCAAAATATAAAATTTAATTAACTTTATTTTTTAAAATTATTTTTTAAAAAAATTCTTACTCCTATTGATTATAAGAAGTCTTTACAAGGGGTAACCCTAATGTTCATGATTGAATAAGATGGTTTAGTAAAATTTAAAACGGATTTATTATAAATAAATAATTTAACTAATTTTTAATTTTTTAAAATTAGTTATCTAACTTTATTTTAAAAAAAAGTAATTAAGAAGAATACAAGTATTTTTAATGGAGAAAGAGACATTAGAACTCGTGAATATATCAATCTCAAAATTGCTGATTTAAATGTTTTAGTTTCCTATGAAATCCTTGAGGATCATTTTCAACTTTATATTTCTTCAGAAATAACCTAATTAACAAGCTTTTAAAAAAACATTAGTACTCTCTAGAAGTGTTTTAATTTTTACGTTCAGGTAACTCAGCCCGTGTTTGACTGGGGAAAAAAACTCAAGCCCGTGTTTGACCGGGGGGAAAAAAACTCAAGCCCGTGACCTGAGCGTAACGGCTATAATATGGTCTGCTCAAGCCTGCATTTGGTGGCATTTTTAAAAAAATTGTGCCAATTGTGCGAGTTAAATGCCGAATCTTGTAACTATAGTATCTATTAGCTAAATAAGTCTTTTCATCTATTATTGTGAAATTTCAGTAGTTTTTTTTATAAAAAAATTTCATGCTAAAAATTGAAATATGAGCTACAATTTTTTCACATATTAATGTCAACTTTAAAAAAATTGTTTTGAAATTCATTTGTGTTTATGTGTGTGTGTATATGTATGGTTAAACAAGGTTTTTAAATCTCCTATATTACAAGTTGAAAATTCAATCTCATATCTTTCACATTTGAGGGTCAAGTTTTTTTTAGTCTTCCACAGGAATTTAACACTCATTTTCCACAATTTAACATTGACTAGATGATAATTTGCAATTAATCTTATAGCTTTTAACATGAAACATCTTGGAGGAAAAGGCATGTAATTTCATATAATTGTTGCAGGCAAAATTAAACCGATATATCGACTTTGAAGTGTTATTTTCTCTTATATTTTCTTTGAACGAAGAGACAACAAACACTTTTGCCTTATGCCTGAATATTTGAACAAGCCTGATTAAGTAAATCAAGCAACACTGGCATCCTAAAAGCTCTCAGAACTCTAAATTTCAAATAATGTACATATAACTCGGAGGTTATGAACTCTTTAAGAGAAAGCCCTTTGAGTAGATTACATTGCGGTGCAGCAATTGGCTTAGCTTCCAGACTCTGCTTCATCAGAATGATATCTTGAACTTGAAGTGATCTCCAGCAGAATTAGCCGGTTAGCCTCGTCCTTGAAGAAGAAAGTAATTGAGATTGCGTGCCAAAAGGTCTTGGTACCTCTTCCATTATTTGTTATGAAGCTGCAAAAGGCCTGAAGTCAAGGACTTGGAACTAAATACATGGACTCAACTGGATTCATTCAAAAACATAAATGAATTAGATAAGTGCCCACTCGATGGAACATGAACCTGTTATCGGGGGTAAACTTCAGTAATGGATGCTTCATTTGTAGACCATAGGATTGAAGAGGTAGATTGGTCAGAATCAACAACATTTTTTTGCTTTTGCCTGTTTGGTGTTCTGCGCATGAAAGCTGCTGGCTGTCGAGGTAATGACAAAGTAATAGAATAACTGTTGAGCATCAGTGCTGTATTTGCCATTGAAGGTCTATCAGAAGGATTCTCCTGAACACATAATAAAGCAATATGAATGCATCTTATGACTCCATCTTGAATAAGAACCTCTCAGTGTTGGATCCAATAACTCCAAAGGTGTTCTTTTTGTCCAGTTATCCCAGGCCTGTGGTTACACAAAGAGTCAGAGCCCAAATTTGGAATCTACCAGTTGTTACTAACCAAATCTATATTTGAGACGTATTTGCAGCTGACATTGAAGAAAAGATGGTATACTTGCTGAGGTTTCACTTACGTAGCTTAAGAGGTCATCTGCTTGACGTGATTGGTTAAAATCAGTGTTCTTCTTGCCAGTAACAATCTCCAAAACTAATATACCAAAGCTGAACACATCTGATTTAACAGAAAATTGCTCATACACTGTATATTCTGGAGACATATAACCACTGCAAAGAAAGATTATTAATCTATAGGTTGAGAGAAAATAATGAATAACTCTTGCCAAAGAAAATGTCTAAAACTTACAAGGTTCCAACTATTCTTCCTGTATTTACTTGAGTTTGATCTCCGTGAAAGATTTTTGTCATACTAAATCTGAAATTTTGGATTAATATTAGCATCCAAAAAAACATTACTCGCTTTGAAATCACGATGTATTATTCTAAGCTGAGAATCTTCATGAAGATAGAGAATTCCTCGAGCAATTCCCATTATAATCTTGTAACGCCTTGACCAATCAAGCATTGTTTTCTTTGCAGAGTCTACAAATCCATCAAAGTGAAATTATTAAGTCAATAAAATCAGGATTACTTGCTAGAAAAGGGTAACATCATGTGAATATATACTAAGAAATAACTCTATTTTTGAATATTTATATCAACGGAATATTCGCATCCAAGACTTGATTTGTATAGGATGTCAAAAGCTAGAAGTATTGAGAAAAGGTCAAGTTCAAACCAAATAGAAAGTGATCAAGGCTTTTGTTTGGAGGCGTTGGAGGTAAGAACATAGAGAGGGACATTCAAATTAGCTTCAAATGGGCTATTGGGGTTTGTATGTGAGTGAGTCTGTACAGGCCTTGCTGCTGAAGATAGGAGATTCTTCGCTTGTGAAACTCAGAATGGAAACAGAGCGAGAAGGATGGAATGTGCTGCAGAGAATTTGGGGAAGGACATATTGCTCAACAATAATTCTCTTCAGCTCCAACTCTGATGAAGGACAAAGGCATAAGTTTATGGCATTCAGTTAACAACTCTATCGATGTCGTTACCTATTGATTTCAATCTTTCGGCTTTGCGTTGAGCTGTGGGTCGATTGAGGGCGCCATTTCTGATACAAGTCAACAAGCACCTTTCTTCTTCTGACGATTATTTTTCTATTTAAGGCTGCGCTGGGAAGATCCCTTAGTTACTGCTATTTTTTGTCCTAATTATAGATTTTATTGATAACTTACAAATAAAATTTAGTTATTATAATTAGGATTGAGGTATTACTCTGGTCTTAAATATAAGACTCTTTTCGTAGTGTAATTTCTACTATAAAAAAGTTTTATATTTAAGACAGGACGAGTAGTATTTAATGAGAAGGAAACTCATGCATATTCATATATACCTAGAACAATATCCTATCTAAACGGTAAAAATACATTTGTTAAACTTATTTTCAAAACAGTAACAGTAATTTCTACTGGTGTTTGTGAAATTAAATGATTTCATAAACAAGTTTTCTAAAAACTTTTACTTAAATAATTTTTTGAGTAATTAATTTTTTACAAAAAAAAAACTCTGAAATTGTTTGCTGAATGTAGTATCCAACATGGTCTAAACAGTTAAAAGTAGTTTTTACAAACACGACTTTCCAATCATTAAGATTAAGTTCTTAATTTCTTTAAAAAAACTGAATACTTTTCTCTCTCCATTTTTTTTTTTTGGACAAAGAACAAAAAATTTTTCAGAAGTTTAATCTAAATTCTCCATCCATCAAAATCATGATAAGAACAGGAGAAATGTTAGTTAGAGTCCTATCATGCCACAGTTGCCAAAGAGTAATTATTTTTGGGGGGTTAACATCATGGAAACATTGCCCATTCGATATAATATTTGCATATTCAGGAGATATATAACTACTGCACAAACAAAACAAAATCAATACAAGAAATAATACAAAAGGAAATAACTATGTTTATGGAGCAACAACTGATGAAGTTTTGAGCAACTTTAAGAACTCATTTTCCCTAGCATGCACGAAAAAGGATAAAGGTCAAGTATACTTACTATGTTCCAACTATTCTATTAGTAATTCCCTGATTTTTGATTTGTAGCAACTATTCTTGCTAAGCCAAAGTCAATATTTTGGATCCATGTTATCATCTAACAACACATTGCTGGGTTTGAGATCACGATGTATAACTTTGAGTCGTGAATACTCATGTAGATATAGAATTCTTTGCAATATCTCCTATGATCTTATAACGTTCTGACCAATTTTAATATCCTTTGCTTTGGATTAGTATCTAAAAGTTCACCGAAGAGTATTATTTTATGTTAGAAAATGTACGAGTGCCATACTAATGATCATTAAGTTAAAATCAAGTTGAAAATAAAAACTACTATTCCAAAATGCTAAACTTCAAATGAAGGCAAAAAAGTTGGTCATACCAAATAAAAAGTAATAAGACTCTTGTTAGGCACATATTCATAGATAAGCATTTTCTCATCTTCTTCCAAGCAAAACCCAATAAGGCAACCAGATTTCTATGTTGAAGATTGGCAATAAGTGAAATCTCATTCTTAAATCCCACCACACCCTGCTTAGATTTACTTGAAAGTTTCTTAACTGCTATTTCGCGTTTATCTGGAAGCACACCCTGAAAATATAAATGTCAACAATCAGAACTAAACATATACATATGTGCGCCGCCAAAAAAAAAAAAAAGCATATAGATAGAAAACATAAAATATACATTTCCTTTTGTTATTGTTAAATACCCGAT